ACTTTTTAGACTGAACAAACATATTTTTAATTTATATTTTTCAAATATTTTATTCAAATTAAACACATTTGTAATTTAATTTTTTTTAAAATTAAATAAAAATTAATTTATAAAATTTTTATAAATATAAATAAAAAATGTACATATATCAAACACTACCTAAACATCTGGCCTTCGAGATTTTCACGAGAAAGCTACGGACAGAAGACGCAACTCAGATGTTACTGTTATTGGCAGTTTTCTTCCATCCATGTGCTTTAAATTTATTACACGTAACTTCAATTACTTTAAGACCATTCAAAAGCCTTCTCCGATGTTTCTTATCCCACACACTTGGACGGTCCTGATTGTTTCAAGACTTGTTTGAGTCTATCTACGAACTACTTTCCAATCTACCAAAAAAATAAAAAACTAAACAAAACGTTTGGCCTTGTTTGATTTAGTTTCAAAAACATTTTTTTTAGAGCTTCAGCTTCTTAAAATTTTAATAAATAAATTTAAACATATTCATTTAATATTTATTTAAATAATAAATAAATATATTATTTATGTATTAAATGATAAAAATATGTATAAAAATAAGATAAATATTTTATTATATATATTAAATAATATAAACCATAGCTAAATTTATTTATATGTCAATAATAACTAATTATAGATAATACATCTATACGATAGTGGTGGTAGATATTATTATTTTGATAAAATATTGACTTTTTTTTTTTTTTTTTTTAATATATGTGCTTATATACAAGGGAATTTACGTGTAAGTCATAATAAGTGAACTTATTATCCAATAGGTTCTATGATAACAGGACCTAGATCTAGCCGAATCTGATATAGATCTACTCATCTTCTTCGTTGGAAACATATCTTCTTACCGTCGGTGAGGGTGAAGCAAAGAATCAATGGTCAGTAGTTGCCGGTGAATCATAATCGATGGTAATCGTCGATCACCGGTGACTATATATCAGAAAGAGAAAGAGAAGAAACAAGACGTGATTGCCTGTAGATGATCACCGAAAATCAAAAAGAGAAAGAGACAGAGAAGAACAAAGGCTGAGAGGAAGAAAGACGTTATAGACTTTTGAGTATAAACAAAAGGTTGTTGGACTAAAATAAGCCACTCCTTTTTTAAAGAGGACTTCTTGGTAATTTCCCTATAACTAAAGACCTTTTCAATTATAATTAAAATATAATTACAATAGACCATATCTTATTACAATGAATTATAATCAAATCATAACTAACATACAAAAATTTATAACTAAAGACTACAACCATCATATTAAAACATATAATAGACGGCTCAAAATGAAATGTAAATTGTAAAATTTTCCAAAATTTAAACCTCTTATTTCCTCTTTGGAGCACATTGGGCTTGTAATTCACTGGTTGTTTTGGTTTCCTTGGACAATATCCATGCTTATTTTCTTATTTTGGATAAATAAATTTCAAGTAAATTTACTACCAATACCAAAAAAAAAATTTGAAAAATAAATTCATAATATTTTTTTATGTAATATATATACACATATAATATAGTGGAATCGATCTTAAAAAATTATAATTTAAAAAAAAATCGTGAGACTTAATAATATTATGCTCGGTCTTTATATTGACCACTATGGTGGTTGTGAGGGTAATTTTGTGAACAATGGGCTGAGTTAGGACGAGTCTCCCTTGGAAGTTGGGCCCGCGCAATGGGCCGCGCAATGGGCCGCGCAATGGGCCGCGCAATGGGCCAGTAGGTATTTTGTATTTCGGCTTTGGGCGAGGTAGGTACCAGGATGGTTGGTGTGTTGCTGGAATTGATACCTATCTACCTTCTGACCGAGATGATAGCAAGGCGATGCGCCGAGCTGGGTGTAGCTCGGTAGGATGCCAACCTGTGGCAGGGTCATCACGGCTCGCCCATGTTGATCACGGAGCCGAAGTAACTTGGTTGACCGCAGTGTCAGGCGAGATAAAAGGTTCAACCATCTTACTTTGACTTGCAGTGATGAGAGTTTTTAGGGATAATCATTATCCTTGGGCTTGAGACTCCTAGAAGGACTCTGCTAAGGAGAGTAGAGTCCTACTAGGATTGTGTAAACCATCTCACTTGGTTAGTAGTGAGTAGAGTCTTATCAGGATGGACATTCTTCACTGAGAGTGTGATTCCTAGGAGAACTCTTAAAAGAGAGTTGGAATCCTACTAGGATTGTGCTAGTCAGAATCTATAAAAACTCATAGCAGGACTTATGTACAGGTATCCTAATTCTTACTCTGAAATAAATAGAGCTTTTGTGTCTATTGTCTATTTGCTGACTTAGGCATTGGAGAGGTTTCTGGCACACACCGCCGGTTAGCTCACGTTTGTGTTTTCAGGTGGCAAAGCGACGACGTTTGGAGGAGTGCAAACTTTATTAACAGGATTATACGATAAGATTATTTCTATGCTCGTACAATTGGCGCCATTTGTGGGAAATCACACAAAGAACAAACCTTTTGATTGTGTTCCTCTTTAATTGGATTCTATGGCGCATAATGAAGACTTGCCACACTCTACTATTGATGGGCAAACCTTGGAGGGGGGCGGGAGGCGCGAAGGCTTACCTTTTATCCTGCCTGTAGCAGAGTTAGATCTCCAGCGACGGAACCCGTGGAGGGACACACGAGAGAGACGGGGCCCCAGTCCTCGTCGCTCCCAAAGCCTTGAAAGGTAGAGGCAAAGGTTGGATCCTCAAGTTCTGGAAGATCACGTAAGGGAGCAAGACAAATTGATACGGAGGATGGTAGCAGACATGGAGACGATGAAGCGCCAGATAAAAGGCAAAGAGGTGGCAACAGAAGAGAGATGCATGGCAACACATGCTCTTCTCACTCCGAAGATTGGACAGATAAGTCACACCATCACAAGTTAAAAGTAGAAGCCTCAGGTCAGGCGATACGCAATCGAGGAATTCCAAGACTCGTTACTCTAAGTCTGAGAGAATGAGGACTAAAAGGTCTTACACAGAAGGAAGTAGCTATCGGCCCTCACATTCATATCAAACGACATTTAGGCACATAGAGTTGCCTAGGTCGGCGGACCTGCAGATAGTGCTTGAGGAAAGGGCTCGAAGAAGAGAAGACACTCAGGCTCACGACCCCGTAAAGTCTCCGCACTACAACGGTTGGCTCCTAGAACACATGTGAGTGTCGAGGTAGGAATGCCAGAGCCACGTCTTGCCTATGAACCGGCAGAAAAGCGTTAGCAAGGTTGCAGAGCTCACCGTTCATTCCGGCGGTAGAGAAGCACCATTACCCTCAGGCTTTCACCAACCCAAATTCACTACTTATGAGGGAAAGTTAGAACCCTACATGCCCTAAGCCACTTTCTCCAAGTTATGACAGTGTATCGGCGAAACGAGGCTCTAATGTGTATCCTGTTTTCTTCCAACCTTGGTGACCTGGATTTAACGTGGTTTGAAAGGTTGCTAGAAGGTAGCATAGCTTCATGGGTGCAACTAGCGAAGACATTTGTGACCAAATTCAAAACGAACACCAAGACGCTAGTGGAGATTGAGCAGCTTCTCTCTATAGACATGGGCAAGAAAGAAATATTACAGTCTTACAATAACCGGTATTGGAGACTTTTAATCAAATTAGAGATTACCCTACAAACCTAGCTATCACACAGTACAAACGAGTTTTGCCGGTTGATAATAAATTGAGGGATTCAATGAAAATGACGTCGCCTCTTACTATGGAAGCCCTAATGGAGAGAGTGCACCAACACATCTTGGTAGAGGGAAGATGGGATGCGCACAAGGTAGAGTCCGATACAAACAGCGATATCGAACAAAACACATTTGGCAAAAGTTAACAACGGTCGACAAGAAAGACCGACCGCGCAAAATCTTTGCCCAACTGGGGGCAAAGTAGATTAGCAGAGTTTGACCAACTCTTTCTAACAATTTGTGCCCAAACATGGGGCAAAGGTGGTTGGCAAGTTTGACCAACAAAAATTTTAGATTCCTTGCCCAACTGGGGGGTAAAGGCTGTTGGCAGGTTTGACAAACAAAACTTTTTTGCACCTTTAGCTAAGATCAGGACTCAGCTAAAGGCGTGGCAGGTTTAACTAAACAAAATTTTAGACTCATTGCCCAACTGAGGGGCAAAGTTGGTTGGCAGGTACCTACAACACTTTTTTCCTCTAGCGAGATAAGGATCTAGGCTCAGGAAGGTTAGCAGGTTTGACCAACACTTTTTCATTCTTCAACCGAGATAAGGATCTAGGCTCAAGAAGGTTGGAGGTTTGACCAACAAACTTTTTGCATCCTTTAGTCTATATGAGGATCTAGGCTAAAGGTAGTTGGCAGGTTTGGGATCAACAAAACTTTTGCATTCTTTGACGCGAGATGATAGTACTCGACCAAAGCAGGTTGACAGGTTTGAACAACAAAATTTTTGCACTCTTTGGCAGGGATGATAGTTATCTCGGCCAAAATTGGTTGGCCGGTTTTGACCAACAAATTTTTTTTGAACTCTTGGACCGGATGATTATCTCGGCCAAAGAAGGTTGGCAGGATCATGTAGGCCAAGCTAATTAGTTTGCTAGGCATGCAGCTCGGAAATGATGCAAAACATTGAAAAAGAA